GGCCGCCATCTTGGTTGGGTTAATTTGCATATAGTCGCTCTGATTGGCTGGTGGGCATGGCTTGGGGCATAGCATAGGTGTGGTCAATTTGCATGTTTCTCTTTTATTAGAATGCAATTATATATATATATATTATTTCAGAGATAAAGAGAGATAGAAACATCAATGTTGAGAGAGAATCACTAATCAGCTGCCTCATGCATGCCTCACACTGGAGCCCTGAACCCAGGCATGTGCTGTGACCAGGAATTGAACCATGACCTCCTGGTTCAACCACTGAGCCACACTGCCCAGGCACAATTTTTTATAGCTCTGTCTAGATGTTAGAAATGAGAAGTACCAGAGTTTGAGTGAACAGATTGTTGAAGGGCAGATGCATATGTATAGCTCCCACTTCCCTGAGAGATTCCAGCTTGCTTCCTGACATGGTATTGATTTGGGATTTCTCTTCACAGTATTGGCAGTGGGCTCCAAACTTTGATATATCAAAGAAGTTAGTGGTTAGTCACATAGCAGTCAGAGACATTCTTTAAAAAAAAAATTAAAAAATGATGACATTGTCAAAAATGTGCCAGAGGGAAAACTGCCATGATGTCAACCTTGGCTGCCTTTGCCATGTGTCACTGCAACCAATCCAGATGCAGGGAGCATGGTTAACCACATCAAGGACAGAACATTGTGTGTTCCTTAGTCTCCTTCCAAGGGGTGAAGAGCAATCTGTATTCTGGCAGTGGATGTCTTTGAAGGTGCTTTCAGCTAGAGTTGCAGGAATAGATATGTTCTTCTTGTGAAAAATTTTAGTTAGATTATGAGAAAGCATTTTGGTTTGGTTATAATCTTAATTTCTGAATGATAATTAAGTGTGAAGTGGCAGTATAAAGTTTAAAAAATGCAAGCAGCTATTTTCATGGCACGTATTACCTTTAACAGGTTATATACTTGTTTGTTTATTGTTTATCTCTCTTCATGTTGCTAGTATGTAAGATTCATGAGAAAGGAGATATGAGTGGGCTTATTTTATTGTTATTTTTTAATGACCTAGAAGAGTGAGTGGTACCTCAGAGACTCTCCATAAATGCTTATTGAATAAGTGAATTTCTGAGAACACTGAATGCCAGAGAAATGAGCATCAGCTTTATCTAGTAGGGAACATAAATGGTGTGAAGTTCAAAATTGATAAGTTAGGAAATCAAGTTGATCGTCTAAGGCAGGGGTGGGCAAACTTTTTGACTCGAGGGCCACAGTGGGTTCTTAAACTGGACCAGAGGGCCGGAACAAAAGCATGGATGGAGTGTTTGTGTGGACTAATATAAATTCAAAACATCGTTACATAAAAGGGTACGGTCTTTTTTTTTTTAGTTTTATTCATTTCAAACGGGCCGGATCCGGCCCGCAGACTGTAGTTTGCCCATGGCTGGTCTAAGGACCCACAAAGTAACACACTTTGTTCTCTTATCATTTGGTAAGATATTGCTTTTCGTTTAATTTTTTATAATAATTGTTCTTTACGTGTTTTCTCTGTTTGTTTGTTTTTATTTTGAATACTATAGTCTGTTTATTCATATTTTCACATTTAAAAAAAAGGAGTTGAAGTCATTATTTGCATAAACTTAGTATATTCTTGGTTTGGAAAGAGAAATGCAATATCCCTCCCTTAAGGTACAGGGAAGCAATACAGCAGACTTTACAAGACTTCCTTAACCCTTGAAGCCTTCTGAGTCACGTATTCTTTTAGAAGTTTTCTATCCTTTTCTGTAATGAACTGAACAGAGGTATCAGCCTTGTAAACTGCACCCCTTCTTTAGTCACACACCAGTTTGTAATCTTGAGCCAGGGAATGTGATGTTTCCACCACAGAATGGAGTTATAATACCAACCTCAGAGGCTATGCTACAGACAGATTAGAAAATATATGTTAAAGCACTTTCAAGAGTTCATAGATGCTGAGTCAAAAATCCTCATAGTCAGCTTATGGAGTGCTCACTTTGTTTGAGTCACTCTTCTGAGCATGTAGTTATAGCCATTTATTTATTTAATCCTCGAAACAAACTTATGAAATAGGTACTATGTTATCTCCATTGGAATAATGAGGAAAATGAGACATAAATGCTATTTAATTTGCTCAAAGTCATATAGTAGTTAAGCTGAAGAACTTGAATTTAAAAAGAAGCTTTATTCTAATTCACTGACTCCAACAACTAGTAACATTGATCTACTTTATTTTTATTTTACGTTCAAGTAAGCTTGGATTGTTATATTCTTTTAATATCTAAATATGGGCTCTTCTTTGTGCTAACTGTGCCTAGAAGTTATAAAAGCAGAGGCTCAGCCCTTTACCAGTTAGAGTGAAAACCAGTATGAGGGTCAGGTAAAACGAAGGTGTTATTGTTTTTAATTTTTATTTTGTTAATCCTCACCTGAGTATATTTTTCCATTGACTCATTGACTTTTAGATAGAGTGGAAGGGAGAGAGACAGACAGAGAGAGAGAGAAAGAGAGAGGAGAGAGAGAGAGAGAGAGAGAGAGAGAGAGAGAGAGAACCTTTGACCAGAATTGAACCCGAGACCCTTCAGTCAGCGGGACAATGCTCTATCCACTGAGCTAAACCAGCTAGGACTTAAAACCCCAATGATGAATGAAATAAAATGCATGTGAAAGCAGAATGAAAATATTTTCTCTGTGCATTCTAATAAACATTTTCTCTGTGCATTCTAATGAACGTTATCCACAACTAGTATAGGAGAGCGAATCCTGTACAGAAGTCGTAAACTGAAGGGACTCAGAGAACAATATGGCCTGCCAGAAACATCTAGTTTATAAAGCGGATTGGACAACCATCTAAACACTGAGCAACCTCACATTTAAATTTGGATTTCCACCATCTTCTGGAAAAGCAGGAGACCTGGCAACACTGTGTTCATTCCCACATGAAGAGCATTGACAGCGGCTGAGCACCAGCTGGTCATTCACACAAACCCTGCACTCTGCAATTTCTCACAGCCTTCACCATCCTGTTGTCCCCTTAGGCTCATTCACTCTTCTCTTTTGTCTTCCCGTTCCCTGTAGACATTGGAGTTTGGAACTGCTGAGTTAGACTAACAGAGTTCCTACCCCAATTCTATCTCCTTATTAACAAGGCCATTTTGAGCAATTTTGTGTGAACAAATTCTTCAATTTACCAAAAAACTGAGCATATCATTCTCTCAATAAGACTTACTAGTCTGCTCACTGGCCACGGATAACCCATTCAGTTTCTTCATTTACTGAGAGGTTGCAAAGGAGAACAAAGGAAGTAAAACGAAATTCACCCAAGTACTTCAAAAGACAGGTGTGGTAAAAACTTGACATAGTGGTTTAGTCTTACTTGACATAGTGAAGTCAATCTCCTAGCATGTTAATTATACTAAAAAGAATTAGCATTTTAATAATGGGTTTTTCTACTTTAATTGTGTAACACATATGCCCAATAAAATGTTCGTGTACGATACTAACAACTGGTTTACCATCTTAAATGGTTGCAGAACAACTTACACTGTATGATTGAATTATGCTATAGACAAGTTTAATAACTTAAACTGATTAACCATTTGATTCAATTTTAAAGAAAGTGTGGTTCTGATATTATCCATGTGTTAAATTCTCAACTGACTTGCTTACAAAGTAAGAAACAGAGGAGATGGCTTTCCTTAGAGGTTACTTGTCTGCAAATTCATGTGGATAAAGAGTTCCAGCACATTAAACAAGTGTGTTACTTGGTTAATGGATAGTGTGGCACAGGTAATTAACTATGAAGTCATTAAGACTCTTCTGTGCTGTGACAGTCATGTTTACCTATAACAGATTGATGAACTTGTCAAATGTTTCTTCTTCCCTTTTGTTATTTCAGATCAGCCTTGAGTGGAACTTGACAGAAGATGTTACAACAGTTTTATCTCTGGAAATGGTTAGCTTCGGGGATCATCCTTGGTTCTTTCTTCGGAATCTGCTTTGGCCAGTATGAAGATGGTAAGTAAAGCTGCTTTTAGTCTGACCTTTATAGCTAGTCAGGGTTTCTGTGGTTAAATGGTAAATGAAACACACCACAGAAATGAAGAATGCTAATTTGTAGTTCATTTTCAAAGGTTAGTAGCTCTGTGTAATAATTTGCCTTAATTAAAATAATCCTACAGAAGTGGCTTCCAATGCACTTTGTTTCTTAATAAGTGTTGCAGTATGATACAAAATCCAATGCAAGGCCTCTATTTGAACAGTTACTAATTCTCACTGAGCAAATTCTTAGTGGCTATCAAAGAAAACTAAAAATAAATAAATAAATAAATAAATAAATAAATAAATAAATCCTACTTAACAACCCTTGAACTAACACAAGTATAGTGACCTTAGAGAAAACTTAACAACAGAAAAGATACTAGCCCTAGCTGGTTTTGTTCAGTGGATAGAGCATCGGCCTACAGACTGAAGGGTCCCAGGTTCGATTACAGTCAAGGGCACATGCCCAGGTTTCAGGCTTGATACCCAGTAGGGGGCATGAAGGAGGCAGGCAATCAGTTATTTTATCTTATCATTGATGTTTCTATCTCTCTCCCTCTCCCTTCCCTTTTGAAATCAATAAAAATATATTTTTTTTAAAAAGATACCAGAATTTCCTATAATAAAAGATCCCAAATAGGGTCAAAAGTAGATGTCATTAGTGATTTTAGTGTTAGCACTTTAACTGTTTTGTATTAGTTCATGCCCCACTCTTTTATTTGAAAAGAGTAAAAATATAAACGACTTGACATTAGACTTTGTAAGTCGTTCCCTAATAGTAAGTTAGTCACTTTAGAAAGGTATATTTGTCATCAAACTCCTTAGAAACTATTTAACATATTATGTCTACAGTGGCCCAAATATGCCTATCATAGATATTTCAATATTGAAGGAATCTGTCTTAGAATACTATATAATGAGAGTTAGGATATATATTATGTTAAGTTTAATAGAAAAAAGAAAAAGAAAAAAAAACGGGGAGGGGGAGTTCCTCACCCTAGAATTTGCTATTTAAGAAAAAAAAGAGTTTTGTCCTTTTATTTTTTTATTTTTATTGTTCTTACCCAACATTTGTTTAGCATTCAGAGTACACAGGCAAATAACTGTTACGGATTGGGGTTACTGACTGGGATCTTGGTTCTTTTTATCAATGCAGAAAAGATTTTAAGGCCAATGAAAATGAAATATAACTGAGGCCTAGATGTTATCTTTATGGAGAAAAAGGTCGGGGCTGGGGGCGGGGCGGGCGCCTAAACCACCTGACTAGTGATATGCTTGGGGAGGAAAGGTTACCCTGGGGGTGAGGTTCTTGTTTTCCCAGTTTTGCCCCTTGCTAGGCTTCCTGCCCTGGTGAGTTTCTGTACCTGGCCCATGGTACTTGCTCTGCTCATGTCTCACATAAGCATCTCCTCATCTTTATTGCCCCGTTAACTAATTGTTCTTAGTGGCATCAGAGATTGTGAATTGTGTTTATGCTTTGCTTGGTTAAATTGAATGATCTATTGGTCAATGAATTAATTTTGCTTTATCCCAAACAGTGTTCAAATGTGCACATATTAAGATATTCTCAGTCCTCCCTAGTTAGAAAAAAATATGCCTCTTTGGGGATTCGCAGAACAGTTCACAATAGCAACTATTTTCACAAAGTCAACAGCCTGTTCCCCTGAAAAGTTCGCTAATTAGCACAGTGTTTACTTCAAGTGCATCTGAATTTAAAATTCATGCCAATGCTATTTATGGAGATTGTGAATCTCCAGCCTAACCACACATCTAAAAATGTACTAATAAAATAAATAATGTAACCACTACTTTTAAACAAAATTAAAAATCAGTGCAACTTAAAAGAACATGCCTTTATATTTAAATACTGCATTTAAAATTGTGCCCAGGAATATATGACAAATTAGTGTGTTGATATTTCTTTATCTTATCAGACATTCTATTTTCTATTTATATTTCGTGCTCACGTGGAGAAAACAGGGGAGAATTCAGTGTCGTTGCTAACATTAGACCTTATAAGCCCTGTACTTCTTAGAAATGTAATTTAGGCTATCAGAGGAAATCACTACCAGTTGAGCCTGTAATGCTATAGATTGGGTTTCTTAATAATCCCTTCAAAGCCCTTGGTCTTTCTAAATGTGCTTGCGTAGCCTCCCAAACAAGATTCTCAGGGCACTGTTGGCCATCACATAATCTACTCTCTGAGCAGAGTGGAACTTCACACCTGCTAATTGGTAGTTTGTAGGAAGGCTGCCCCATAAAGCACTGCTCTCATGGATGACTTCTTTATAGCCATGGCTAGAAAGCCTTCCCAGGTCTCTCCTGGGGGCACATGACTCAATACTTAGAAAGACTGAAGGGAGAGGAGCTATGGCAGGGCAACAGAAATGTTGTGTGGTGCTTTATAGAGACTTCTTAACTTCATATGCCTTTTGGCATTCCATACTAGCATCTTCCAGGGTGCCCCCAAGCCAGTAATGGTTCTATCCCTTTAGTTCCTCTCAGGTCTTTACCTCTCTCTGGCCTCCCTCAATTTGGGATTGGGACATGAAAATGGTTTTCATAGTTACCATTTTTTTCAAATAAATCATATAAAATTGTGAGTCCATGCCCTAATCAGTTTGGCTCAGTGGATAGAGCGTCGGCCTGGGGACTGAGGGTCCCAGGTTCGATTCCGGTCAAGGGCATGTACCTTGGTTGCAGGCACATTCCCAGTGGGGAGTGTGCAGGAGGCAGCTGATTGATGTTTCTCTCTCATTGATGTTTCTAACTCTCTATCCCTTTCCCTTCCTCCCTGTAAACAATCAATAAAATATATAAAAATAAAATAAAATTGTGAGTCCACACTATGCAGGAATGAAATCAGTACTAGGTAAAGTATGGCTAACACACAAAATAATAACACTTGACTGGAATATGTGATATGAATTTCTTGAACAGTTTTTTTTTTTTCGTTTTTTGTTTGTTTTTTGTCCAAGTGCTTGGGTATGCAAGTACATGGATAGATTGAAGGAAGATAATGGTAATAGTCAAAATCATGATAGATACAAGGAAAAGTAAAAATAAAAACACCTTGCCATAGATAATCCACTGGTTGGGTTAGCCCATTTTGATAATTTGCATCTGATTTATATACAGAGTTAAGAGCTTTATATAGAAAAACATGAAAGAGAAAATGTTAAAATACACTAAGGCTATTAGTATAACAATCTTGGGTTTTTTTAAATTAAATGATGGGATTCTTCTGGATTTTTAATTAAGAACAGCATCCTTATGCTTTCCTATTTATATTCTCAAGCATAGAAGAATTGGAAGGACAAACAAATATAAAGTTTTATTTCATAAATACTTTTACTGAAATGGAATATTCTAGTTTTAGACAAATATGTGAAACTGTTTCAAAGAAAAACAAATTATATAATTATTTTAATGTTTTATAACAAAAACTTTACATGAAAACTTTGGCTAGGTTTTAAATCATTTTATATTTCTCATTCTAATTGCTGGGATAAGCTTTTAGATTCGGTAATAAAATTTGTAGCATTATATTAAATTAAATTAAAAAGTAATAATTTAGCTAATTGACAGAAACTTAGAGAACCTAATAGATTTGTAGTTTATGGTCTCCCTCCCCTCAACAGAGCATTAGGATTGATATTTTATCTATACTTCAATGCATTACCAATAATGACCATTTTGTTTGAATGGAAATATGTTTCTTGATCTCAAATTGAGTGAGGAGAGCCTTAAAAGGAGGTGTCATGGGAAACAGAGGAAGCAGGACCATCTGCTGAATTTTGTGTTGTGTGGGCAAAACATCTATAAAACACTAGAGGCCCATGCACAGGGGGTGGTGGGTCCCTCAGCTGGGCCTGCGCCCTCTTGCAGTCTGGGACCCCTCAAGGGATGTCCACCTACTGGCTTAGACCCGATCCTCTGGGGATCAGGCCTAAGCCAGCAGGTGGACATCCCTCTCGCAGTCTGGGGCTTCCGTAGTCTGGAACCACTCGCTCCTTACTGCCCACCTGCAGTGGAGGCGGGAGAGGCTCCCGCCACCACCACTGCCCCCTAGTGGTCAGTGCACTCCCACAGGGAGAGTGCTGGTGGACAGTGTGTGTCATAGTGACTGGTTGTCTGCTGTTTGGTCGATTTGCATATTAGGGTTTTATCATATAAAATATTATTTGTTCTTACAAATACTATGATTCACAATGAGGTAAATTAACTGTTGTGCACAGAGTTTGTGTTTTTGTTTATTTCGTTTTGATTTTGAGTTCATAATAAATGATGAAAAGGAAAGAAAGAGGGAAAAAAGGGAAAGTGATTATGGGTAATGGGTATGTGTTATTATTTCTTCTGCATTTTAAATTGTTCATATTAAATCCTTTTAAAATATGTATCACTACCATCATCAGATAGGAAATGTGTTTGTTAAAAATAACAACTATATGTCACAATAGTATGACTAAGTTTGAACCAAATGTTAGCAAGGTGTATGCACAATGAGTGTGTATGTGTATGTGTTGCGTGGGGGAGGTGGCAGGGGTTTTTTTTCCTAAGTGTGTACAAATCATACATGCCACATGACCTTTTAAGGAAAGGGTTCTCCCTGGCTGATTGAGTGTTTAGCCTGGAAACCAAAAATCTTCTGTCTTTCCCTTGAGCTGTTGAATAAATCAGTATATATCTCTGGTGTGACTAGAACCCTTATGTAGTGTACAAGCAGAACAACTACATGGAGAGACCCAATTTATAATCTCATGGAGTCCCAACATTTCCTGAGGCTCAGTGCCCTATAAACTAGTAACTCTGAAACTCAATTTTATACAGTTTAGCACAGCATCTGACATATATGGTCAATGGTTACTAAAACCTATTTTTATTGCTACTATGACCCTCATTACTTATAAATAAGTATACTTTTTTTTCATAAATTTATATATTGATTTACAAATGAGTATTTTGTATTCCTGAAA